CTCATGAACAAAAATGCGAAAACATAAATAAAATGTTAGCTAACAAAATACCAAAGCATATTCACAAAACAGCCTAGTAGGGGACTACAAGGAAGGTAAAATATCAGAGAAATCTATCAATATAATTCATTTCATAAATAGGCTAAAGTTGAAAGCTCATATGATTATCTCAATACTCAGTACAGAAAAAGCATTTGACACTGTTCAACACCTATTTATTTTTGTATGAATTAATGTGGAACTAAACATATACAAAAGTAGAAAAATAGTATAATGAGTTCTAGCATACTTGTCATCAACAATTACATGGCTAATTTGTTTCATTCATACTCTCACCCACTTTCCATCACTACCACCTCCCACCTCCCACTACCACTGGAGTTGTTGAAGCAAATCCCAGACATCATATTTCATCCATAAATACTTCAGTGCATATGACTTTTTAAAAGATAAGAGGTCTTTCTTTCTTTTGAGGAAGATTAGCCCTGAGCTAACATCTGCCGCCAATCCTCCTCTTTTCCTAAGGAAGACTGGCCCTGAGCTAACATCCATGCCCATCTTCCTCTACTTTATATGTGGGACGCCTACCACAGCATGGCTTTTGCCAAGCGGTGCCACATCCAGACCCGGGATCCGAACTGGCTAACCCTGGGCCAGAGAAGCGGAATGTGTGAACTCAACCGCTGCGCCACGGGGCCAGCCCCAAGAGGTCTTTTTTTAAAGAACAGGACCCCAGTACCACTATCACTCCTAAAAATTTATCAAAGATTACCATATGTCCAGTCAGCGTTCAAATTTCCCCTATTGTCTCATAAATATTCTACATTAGGATATGTCTTTTTAGTCTTTTTTTTAAATACAGTCTCTCCTATTTTTTTCCTTTGCAGCATATTTGTTGAAGAAACAATATTGTCTTTATTTTGCTGCCTGCATCCCTATGGTTTTGTTTAACAAGTTAGTTGCTTTGAATATTGTATTTCCTGTACGTTGGTGATATGTTTGGATGCTTGGTCAGATTCAAGTTTGATTTTTGGGCTTGAAAGGTGGTGTTGTGTACTCCTAACTGTATCACCTCAGAAGGGACATAGCGTCTGCTTGTCTCTCTTTTTGTAATGTTAAGATTACAAAATCTTGTCTGATTGACCTACCCATTATGAAATTCCTCATCAGCTTTTCACTAATGGTTTTAGCAGCCATGAATATTTGAATTCTTCGTTTCTGTCCAATCATAGCTGGGGGTTTTCTATAAAGAAAACTCATCAACTCTTTGGTCATCCTGAGGTATAGTCCAAACAAGAAATTCAGGATGAATGGTTGATTCTTTCTTTTTATTTATCAGTTTTCAGAGTGAGTTGGTTCTTAAATCATCCACAGTTGACTAATGCTTTTTTCCCCCTTTGAGTAACGTTACCAACTCATGGATTTTTAACACATCTGATGTGTTTCGATGCACTACAATTGTTATTCTTTTTGGTGCTTGTGGTAGGCAGAATAATGATCCCTCAAAGATGTCCATATCCTGATGCCTGGAATCTGTGACTACGCTATCTCACATGGCAAAGACAGAATTAAGGTTGCAGATGGAATTACAGGTGTTAATCAGCCAACCTTAAGAAAAAGAGATTATCTAAGAAGGCTCAATGTAATCACAAACATCTTTAAAAGTGGGAGAAAGAGGTAGAAGGGTACGTCAGAGTGATGCAACGTGACGAAGATTTGACTCGCCATTGCTGGCTTTGAAGAGGGAGGAAGGAGACCATGAGGTAAGGAATGCTGGTGGCCTCTCGAAGCTGTAAACGGCCAGGAGACAGATTCTCTACTAGAGTTTCCAGAAAGGAACCCAGCTGACCCCTTGATTTTAGCCCAGTAAGGCCTGTGTTGGACTTCTTACCTACAGAATGTAAGATCATAAATTTCTATTATTTTAGCCTCTGAGTGTGTGGTAATTTGTTATGGGAGCAACAGAAATCCAATACAGTGCTTATCACTTCTATGAGAAAAACAGCAATAATAAGAATGGAAAAAACAGATGAACTATTCAATCAGAAAGAGTTTAACAGATTTGCTAGACTAACCTATAAAAGTAATTTTTTTCTCACTAGTCACAATAATAAACTAGTAAATCTAGTGAAAAATAGGAAACTCCTCTCAACAGTGTAAACAAAAAACTATAACTAAATACTATGTAGGAATCAGGTAGGACCTTTATGCAGAAACTTGAAAACCCTAGTAAAGGACATAGAAAATGATCTGATAAATGGAGAAACAGTTTATGTTCTTGGATGGGATGATGTACTATTCCAAAGATGTCAATTCCCCAAATTAGTCTATAAATGTAATGTTTTACAATAAAAATTCCAGTTGGACTGTTTGAGGAACTTGATAAACTTACTCTAAAATAGAAAGAGGCAATAAAGGATCACAAATAGCTAAATCAACCTCATAACGAAAAAGAGAGAGGGAGACTTGCCAAACAGGATATTAAGAACTCATAGTAATAAAGCAGTGTGATACTTCTGCAAGAAGAGACAAATAGAACACTGGAACAGAGTTGAAAGCTTGAAGACGGAACTTGAGGTAGTTAATACACGGTACAGCTGGTGCCACAAATCAAGGAGGACAAGTATAGAATGTTTAGTAGGTACTGTTGGGAAATCCAGCTCACCCTCTAGAGGAAAAACAACAACTGGAGCTTGGATTCCTATCCAACATCATGGACAAAGATTGAGTCTTGATGGATTAAACAGCAAAATGGGAAAGGTAAACATATGAAGTGGACAGGATAAATACAGGAATTATTTCTGTCACCTAAGAATGGGGGAGACTTCTTAAAATGTCAGAAACATAAACATAAAAGATAAAGTAAAAATGATGGACTAAATCAAAGTTGGGTATTTCTATGAACTGAAGTAGACCCTGGACAAAGTTTACAAACAGATGAAAAAGAGAGAAGATATTTGCATGTCTAAAACTGACGAGATTAATTACCAGCATATATAAGAACTCCTGTAAGAAAGACAAAAAACTTCAATAGAAAAGTGGCAAGCGATATGAGCAGACAGTTTATAGTAAAGAAAACAGAAAATCTTATAAACATATAAAGATATGCTCAGACGCATCAGTAATCTGAGAAATTTAATAGTGAGATGGTACTTTATATCTGTTATACTGGGGAAAACAAGAAAGCTCGATAATGCCAAGCCTGGGGGCATAGTAACCCTCAAACACTGGTGGTGAGAGTGCAGACTCATGTGGCATTCTGGACAGCAACTTGGAATTATTTGGTCAAACTAAGAATATTTATACTCCATGACAATTTCTCTTCTGTTCCTCACACACCACATGGAAAATTAAAAGACTCAAGCACAAACTGGGGCAGATATTTGCAACACATATAATAGACAAAGTTTAGTATCTAGAATATATAAGAACTCCTATAAATCAGTGAGGGGGGAGAGAGAAACAATCTAATAGAAAAATGGGCAAGAAAATTACTAGGCAGTTCACAAAGAGAAAGTGGAAAGATTAATAAAATCATGAAAAGTTGCTCAACCTCAAGAATAATGAGATGCAAAATAAATCCACAATGTGACACTCGACTACACACACCCAAATATACAAAAATTAAAAATCTAAACAATACCAAATGTTGGTGAGGATGTAGAAAAATAAGAACTCTTAAACACTCCTGGCAGGAACATAAATTAGTACCACTTCTTTGTAGTATGGTGTGGTATTACCTGCTAAAGCCCTATTAGTGCAAAAACTAATACCAGTCAAACCACTCCTACTCTAGCACATGTGCACTAGTCAGCATGTACCAGAGTGTCCCTAACAACAATGTTAATCATAGCTAACAATAGAAACAGTACAAATGACCATCAATAATAGAAAGCATAAATAAATCAATATATATTCATGTACTAGAGTACTGTCCAACAATGGAAAAAACTTCCATAACATTGGGTGAATCCCACAACATAACAGTAAGTGAGAGAAGCAAGTCACCGGAGAATACATATTATATTAATTTCATTTACATGACATCAATAACTGGCAAAAAATCAAACAATATTTTCTTTAGAAATGCATACATGAATAATGAAATATTTAGAAAAGCAACGGCATTATTGTAACAAAAGTCAGGGTTGTGGTCCCAGGGCAAGGCAAGGAAGGCAAGGCAATGTTGGGGCATTTCTAAGGTGCTAGTAATGTTCTGTTTCTTAACTTGGGTGTTATTAGACCGGTATTCACTTTATTGTTATTGCTAAGGATGACTATGTTTTATACACTTCTGTCTGTATAAGTTGTTTCACAATTAAAATGATTTTTAATTGAGCAATCTCTTAGATTGTTTTCATCTTTGATGACCTACAGCCTAGGCCCTGTGCAACTGGTTTTAATGTTGGTCCTTCATTGACGGTTCACTTTAAGCCACATACATTGAGATGCATACACAGGTGAATCAGACAGGAAACCCTGAAGGGAGAGGGGGCCACACTAACAAAGAGAGGATCACAGAATTGGGGACTAGGAAGAAGAACGTGACGATCTGATTCAAGACCTCTTCTCAGGGACGCAAGTGATGTTTTCCTTGAGAGCTCCTGACTTCCAATCCTGGTTCAAACTTTGACTTGGGCAAGTCTCCTCTCTAATCCTCAGTTTCTTCATACTGGCTTTGTAAACTGTATCGTGAAATCCAAACAAGAGAACTAATAACAATTATTCTTCTTTCACAGTTGGGGAAACTGAGGCCGGAGAGGAACGCCACTCGCCCAAGGTGCCATCGCCACGTTGGAACTCAGGGTTCCTGAGTCCAACTCCCTGACCAGTGCACTGTCCCGTTACACAAACAGCTATTGTCTCCTTTGGGCCAACAGTTTGATGTCACAGACGACCCGCCCCGCCCCTTCTGAAGCCCCGCCTCCTCGCGCGGCCCCGCCCCGCCCAGCGTGCGCCGAGCCCCGCCCCCAGCCGCTCGCCCTCGCGCCGCGGCTCCCGCGCGTCCCCGCCCGGCCTCTCTTCCGGCCCCGCCCCTCCTGGCTGCCATGACAACGGGTCCGCGCCCCGCGCACAGCTGCTGCTCGGGCGGGACCCAGGCTGGACCGCGGGCCCCGGCCTGGGGGCCACAGCTGCCACCGCCGCCGCCACCTCGTCTCCTCCCCGACCCCGCCCCGCCCCGCGTCTCCTCGCCTCACTCGGGCCCGCGGCCGGGGTCCCTCCCCGCCGACCTCCCGCGCAGATGCCGAAGGTGAAGGCGCTGCAATGCGCCCTGGCGCTGGAGATCCGCTCTGTGAGTACCGGTCGCGCCCCAGCCCCGCCGCCGGGGTCAGGGAGCCCCCGGGATTCACTCAGGACGCCTCCTCCGTTCGCGTCCGAGAACCTCAAGTCACCTCCAGACCCCCCTCACCCTCCGAGTCAGCCTCGGGAGCAGTGACCCCGCGTCCCCTGGGTCTTCCCCGCGTCCCGGTCCGGGGCGCCCTCCCCCCCAGCGCGCGGAGGTCTGACCCCGCCGCCGCTCTCCTCCTTCGTCCCCGCTTCCAGGGCCCGGTCCTTCACGTCGTTTCCGAACCGCGTCGGAAAGCCCCTCCTCCCCCGCCCCGACTCTCCAAGGAGTTGTGTGCGTGTGGGGGTCTTTTGACAGTCCTCTTCGGCCCCTGTTCTCGTAGCGAGAGGATTCCTGGCCGCGTCTCCCCAGTCTTCAGTGGGGACTCTTCCTTCCTCATCACTGCAGGCCGACACTTTCAGACAAATTCCCAAGCTTCTGATCAGTGAAGGGGCCTTTACTCTCCGTCGTCAATGTGGAATCCCACACCCAGCAACCGGGATGTGTCCAAGCACCTTGCCATCCCCCCCAGGGCCAGCCCCTCAGAAATGGTTTCAGGCCCTCCAATCCCCAAACCCTCTCGGCGCTGAGAGGGATCCTGTATCCTTCCCTGCGCTCCAAGGAAGGCACAACTTAGTTCTCTGAACTTTCTAGAGAGGACCTGCAGCCCCACCCAGTCGCTCTCCACACTTGCTGAGAACATCCTTCCCCCACCCCGCTGTGCAAGTCCAGCTGAGGCAGAGAGCCCCCACGGCCTTCCTCCAAGGAAGGGCTTGGACCTCTCCACGCTCGGAGAGAACTCCATCCCGCTTAGTAATCTCAGAAGACCCTTCCAAGGGTTTCCGACTCCTTCCCCTTCCTCTAGAGAGCCCGCCTCTAGAGGAAATCCCCTAGGACAACTTCTGTGCCCCTATTTTAGACCTACAAGCAGTTTGGAACCAAAATTCCTCCTTCAGTTCCTTTTCTCTCCTTCCACTTAAGTCTTCTTTCATCTCAGTCTTCTCTTTGACCTCCCAGCAAAACTGGGGCTGGAGGGAGGCGGGGTTACTGACATATCCACCACCTCTCCCCCGGGTGCTGCAGCGAGAAACCTCCTCACTTCCTTCCTGCACGCCCTGCTGGCGAGGCTTCTCTCCACGGAGCCCACCCTTGCAGCATCCCGTCCCACCTCCCCTCTCCCTCACCCCCCTTTCCTGGCTGTCCTTCCTTCCAGTAACGGGAGGCCGCTGCAGCACAGTCCATGAACCCTCCTGGGAAAGTCACAAGCCGTTTTAGCTCTTTCGTTAGATCTTAAAGAAGGGAAGGCTGGGTAGGGCAGCGTGTGAGCGAGGGGTGGAGGAGCAGAAAGTTCCTGGCACGCTCAGTTTGTCTTTAAGGCTGCAGAGATGTTTCTCTATAGCCCTACTTTCAGATGTTTTCCTCCCACAGCTCCAAAGTTTGGCAGCTTTTTTGTAAAGTAAGATTTGTTTAGCAAAAGAATACATGAACCTTTCTAAACCGCTGGGCCCTGGCAGTTAGTAAAACTCCTGCGGCGTGCAGCCTCTCGACAGACTTCACGACTGCCTGCCGCTTCCTCCTCTGCTGACCAATGGGCTTTGCAGCCTGGTGAGTGCAGCCGGGACTGGCTGGTCCCTCCTGCCTGCCTTTGCCAATGCAGACCTTCCTAGGGGAAGGGCTTTGTTGTAATTGACTACTGCCTGAAGGAGTCGGAGAAATAAATTTTATTTCACTGCTCCTTCTCCTCGGTATTAGTTGCACAGCAGAAAGTGAATGACTGTAAATGGAGCTTGGTGGTTTATTGAGGCTTAAGAGGTTATGCATGTGGAAACATTCCTATTTAATTTTTTTCAACAAACGTTTGTCACAGAATTTTACAGTTCTAAAAACTCTTAGTTATCATTGGATTTAATTCCTTTTTACAGGTGAGAAAATCACCAAGGCTTACCACGGCTAGTGATTTTCTAGTTGCACAGCTATGAAGGGGCAGATCTGCAACAAGACACTAAGTTTTCTGACCAGCAAAAGCCCTGTTAAATGGCGCTGATGGCTCTGAAGGAGCGAAAAAGACCATTAATAACCACACAAGTTTAACAAGCTAGATTAATTTGGCTTTGATTGAATAGAGGAATTATGTGACCATAAATATGTTCCACATTGTCTTTTCCATTTAGTTTAATTTTTTATATTTACATGGTATAAAAGTCAAAACTATCTAAAATAATGTACTTATAGAAATCTCACTTCCAGCCCTGTCACCTCAAACCTATTTCCCGCCTATACTCATCTGCTGTAGGTGACCGTTTTTATTGGTTTCTGATTTATTCTTCCAATATTTCGTTTTGTAATATAACCACATAGATCCACACACACTACCCTCCCCTCACATGTATTTTCTTTCCTTTCCTTCCTTTCTTACACAGTAGCTGACATTATAGAAACTATTTTGTACTTTGCCGTTTTTCTTCACTTAGTCTATCCTGGAGATCACTCTATATCTAGAAAAGTTGGCATATTCTTTTTCCCTCAACTTTTGATTGACATTTTTCAAACATAGGAAATAGTTGGAAGAATAGTACAATGAATGGCTATCCCATGGCCTATGTACGTTAATTCAATTTATCTGTACATATGTAAATGTATAAAATATTTTTTGCTGAAAATTTTAAAGTAAATTGTTGATAGTATGATACTCCGCCCCTAAATACATCTTCTAAAAATAAGGATGTTGTTCTTCATAACCTCAATACCATTATCACACTTAGCATAATTAGAGTTTCCTAGTATCAAGTCCATACGCAAGTTTACCCAGTTGTCCCCAAAAGGACTTGTATAGTTAACTTTTTCACACCTGTATCCGATCAGGGTTTACATTTGCATTTGGTTGTTGGGTCTTTTTAGTCCGTTTTAATACGAAGCAGTTCTAATTTTTCATTCCCACGATGTCTCCTCTTTTTTTTTCCCCCAGTGGATTTAGATGAATTCATACACTCATATAATCATTACTCAGATCAAGAATTTAAAACACTTCCATCACCCCAGGAAGTTCCCTTGTGTCCTTGTCAAGCCCCATGCTGAGGGAACTACTCTACTGATTTCTATCACTGTAGATTCCTTTGCCAGGACTTGAACTTCATATGAAATGGGGCCATGCAGTATGCGATATCTTGTGTCTGGCTTTTTTTGCTCAGCATGATTTTGAGCTTCCTCCATGTGTGTGTATCAGTAGTTTGTTCCCTTGTATTGTGGAGTAGTAGTCTACTGTATTTGTACACCACAGCATATTTATCTGTTCTCCTTATTGATGGTTACTTGGATGTTACCAGGTTGTGATTGTCATGGATAAAGCTGCTATGAACTTTCGTTCCTGTAAAAAGTCTTTTTTTTTTTTAAGGATTTTATTTTTTCCTTTTTCTCCCCAAAGCCCCCCAGTACATAGTTGTGTATTCTTCGTTGTGGGTTCTTCTAGTTGTGGCATGTGGGACGCTGCCTCAGCGTGGTCTGATGAGCAGTGCCATGTCCGCACCCAGGATTCGAACTAACGAAACACTGGGCCGCCTGCAGCGGAGTGCGCGAACTTAACCACTCGGCCACGGGGCCAGCCCCTGTAAAAAGTCTTTTATGCACATTATCTTTTGAAGAGACTAGGCTCAGATATAGAATATACCATGTTGTGTTATTGTCTGAATTTTTTCCCTTTGTGGTGACATTTAATTTGTTCCCAATTCTTATAAACTGGAAATGAGATGTTTTATTTTTACATGCCTGTTGAAAGTGTGGCACTCCATTCTCCTCTCCCTTCTCCCCCTCCATGTGTATTTTTTGCTGCAGTCTTGTATTAGCGACAATCTCATATGTTTAATAGTGTGTTAATATGAGAACAAGAGCATAGTAAACATGAAAGATTTTGGTATATAACACATTTTGTGTTGCTCAACAGAGCCATATGACTTGAGAGAAAATATATTGCTGGGAAGAAAGTGTAACTTTTCTCAGGGAATCTTCGGAGAATGATATGATGTGCTAAGTAACTTGTTTTTAAAGAGCGGCAAAAGAATTATGTTTCCCATCACTTACACTTTTAATATTTTCAACACTTGAAAGATTTTTGCTGCTTCTCTCTCTTTTCTTTTCATTATTCAGTAGTTCAATTTTCATGAGATTATTTGGGAAAAGAGAAGGAAGAGATGGGAGATAGAAAAGTAAGGCGCAATGCCTGGGCAATGAAACCGGCTGTTTGCTTTACCTGAACGGTGTCAGTCTGGGGGTAGTTTATATACATATTTCCCAGTTTTTCTTCTTTCTACTCACTCACGTTACCTCGCTCAAATTGTTGAGAGCACTGGGGCGAACAGATCTTGGTCGTTTTCAGTCACTGCTCATCTGAACCTTTGTGGTCCTTATCCAGGTTTCTGTGCAATGGTGTCTCACTCACACTTGCACTATGGTTCAAATATGGTTGGTGGTAAATTTCTCTGGAATATAGACTTTTTAAAACTTTAACTATAAAATACTTGAAACTTACAGAAAAAAAAATTGAATGCCATGACCCCTCAGTTTAACAAAAGCCACATTTTACGTGTTTGCTGCAGATTTTTGTTTTTAAGAAATGAAATGTTACGGATATAGTTAAGGCCTCTTATAGTTTGTACTTCTTCCTCACCCCAATTTTCCTCCTTCCCTTCTTAGGAATAAGGTAATCAATATCCTGAAGTTGTAGTGTATTCTGTTCATTCAGGTTTTCTACTTTACTATATACTTGTGTATGTCTGTGTACAACCTATTCTATCATTTTGTTTGTTTTAAAACTTTACACAAATATATCATACTTTATGTATCCTGCAAACTAGTTTTTCTACTTCGCTGTTGAAATTTGTCAGTGTTGATTCTGGCAGATCTAGTTCATATCCTTAATTCCTGTATAATGCTGTGTATTTATATGACAGTGATTTAATTTTTTTTCCCTTATT